GATTCTTCCATTTCCCCTATAATGCAACAATGAGCTGGACTGCTGTTTGTCTTGGGAGTGGGTTATTATTGAATTGAGGGTGAATGGCTCACTTGATTTAAATTCCTACACAAGTAGGTGAGATCAGATGATTGGAGGCTTTTACATTCAACCCTTAGGTAATTGATATCAGGGTTATATCATTGAACAACTTTTATGGTATCTCTGGCATTTCAATCGTTGTTTTAGACGTCAAAATCAACATTTTTTCCCTTATCTTGCATACCCGGAGATTTAAACATGAGAAAGAGCACACAAAAACTGACCTAGTTCTTATAATGAAGGTAACTGAACCATGAAGTACAGAAACCTATCCCTTTAATTCGTACATCTGGATGAATGGAGACGGTGAAATTAGAGTGATTTGTAAGAGTACTCGACCAAAATACCATAATACTTGAATAATACAACGCCATTGTCACTGAAGTGACCTCGTCAGAGAGTCAGATGAAATGACATCTTAGAGACAGTAAACTAGGTGGATATCCATACGTATATTGTACAATGGAAGGGAATAGAAGAAGCTGATCAGTATCGGTTTAAAAATATAAAAAGTCATGATGTATATATAAATGGTTTACGGAGAATTGTGCGTAGTCTTTACTGTTTGACCAGGGCTAAACAGAGCATTGAAATTTTAGATGCTGTCGAGTCTTGTCACTACCAGAGAAAACCAGGATCCGGAACTCGAGTGTTTGACACTCCCAGCTTAACATTTTAAGCTCCGATTGTACTTTTCCTATAAATAAAACTGACCGATATTATCATATATATCTAGTAAATCAACACTATGTCAAGAAAATTGTTAAAGTTTGTTTTACGTTGCGGTCTTATTTAGACATGCTAATGTTTGCTGTGTAAAACAAATATTAGACTTGACACGAGAATTTCGGCCTAATTTGTAGAATAAAGAGTAGCCACGCCTTAGTCATGTCACATTATAATCCTGCATGTCATTGTAGGCTAAATTGTCATGCGGTTTGTTATAGATGAATGTCAGCACTTTATTATTGATGTACCTTGGTATACAATCAATTTATCTCTTGGTCCAAAACAGGACTAGCTTTTGTTATGTTACCTATAATATCTACCGGTTATGTTGGTTTTCTATAAGTAGCATTGTCTGACACAGTCAACAGGTCTATTATTTGGTTTATTTGAATATGAATATTTTAAGGCTGGAGTTCTGGCAGGTTGCCAACTAGTGTATTTACTCGATTTTTCTATTTCTATTCACACACAGATTACAAACATGCATACGATATAATAACCATCTGCAAACCATATATTGTTTAAGAAAATTGTTTACTCTTTGACTTTCTATTCATGATTTAAGTAAAACATGTCATTTGTAGATTTTTAACTCCTTTTGACCTTTGACCCACAGTATTTATCAAATGAAAATGCCCATGCCTTTTAAATGAAACCACTCGTTCTTTTCATAATTTGTATCTCTGCATTATACATATATGTATTAGCCCATTTCTGACTTTTTATTTCACAGTTCATAATGGCCTCCAAGGCTTGATGCAGGATTATTGTAGTATGACATTTGACCTCTGTTAATCTTCAATTCATGTTGACCTTTAATTTTGTTGTCCCATTACAAAAAGATTCACACTCATCAATATTGTAACATTTGACCTTCAAGTCATAATGACCTTGACTTTACACACATTGATTAGATTGACACTATTTAAGGGCTGGCAACCTTTTGATTTATGATCAATTGGTTTTGACTGGTGTTGCCTTGTTCCCTACTCTGAGGTTTGACCTATGGTTACTTTGACCCCTATATACAGTGAACTTTGACCAATAGTGAACTTTGACTCCTGACAGTCCCTACTTAGACATTTGACCTGTAGTTACTTTGATGCCTATATACAGTGAACTTTGACCAATAGTGAACTTTGGCTCCTGACAGTCCCTACTTAGACATTTGACCTATAGTTACTTTGACCCCTATATACAGTAAACTTTGACCAATAGTGAACTTTGACCCCTATTTACAGTGAACTTTGGCCCATATAGTGACCTTTGATTCCTGACGTTTGATTGCTTTTAGTTAGTTGACTATCATATTGATTATGCTGTATTAATTTTGCATTAACACAGCCTCCAGATATTGATCCCAGTGTTGTTTACAGTGAATAACTACCATACACCATACCCTATATACTGTTACATCTGGCTTTGAGACAGAAATTACTCTGTATGAATTTTTCATGCATGAATCAATAACATAGGTTACACCATGAGTACATTTTACCATTCTGTCAAGTCACTAGTATTGCTGACAAATAATAGCTACCTCCTGCAATGTTATTGTTACCAATACTTCACTAATGTTGGTATGGACATTACAAACTCTTGGAAATGTATATGTTTGAAGTCACAATTGTTTGACGTCGCAGACAGCAATACAAATGTGCCCCGATTTGTAGTACTTCAAGGGACAAATTTTGTCAAAAATTCAGTTTTGAAGAAGGCCACTCTTCGGGCAAAACCAGTAGACGTTTCCTAATAAATAAAACTCTACTCATCCCGAGCTTGTTGGGATAGACTTCTATACTTAGTTTTTCCTATTCTTCAATCGCCCTGCGTACCGGCTGATATCCAAGCAAGGGATAAACGGAACCAACTAAACCTAAATAAGAAAAACAGCGTTGGCTCTTTCGCTAGTACCATACTGTATGCCAGGATGTTTTTACATTTTTACAGCAAATATAAGTTAAATACATGTACATAGTAAATAAATGTGGAGGGCAAAAGTAAGCCTGGTCCATGGGCAAACATGGTTTTACCGGTAAAGGCTTAAAGTTTGACTTCCAATAGAGTTCCAAAGAAGAAACTTAATATTTTGGAGATGTACACCAATTAATTAAACTTGTATTTCCAATATACACAAGGATTCATGCATTCATTAAGCACTGAAAATTTGAAAAAAAAATATAAGATTAGTAAGTAAGCTAATTAAATAAAGTTTTAAAGTGATGTAACTCAAACGCTTATTGGTATGATTAATTGGTTAAGTAGCATGTCTCCTGAGGGAGATGATGCCAATAAAAACTGAAGGTATGATATGTGAGGAAGCTTATATTAAGGGAGATAACTAATGCAAACCACAGGCATTATGGCCAAGTCTCAAGGGAGATAACTCTAACTCAAACCACAAGTAATGTGTAGGGTAACTATATCATAGCATACCTCCTTAACAAAGCACCACATATTGCTGCTACATATACAAGCTTTTTTGGGCTTGACGGTATATTTTACTTGAACAATGCATTGTTATAGCCTTAAGTATATACAGCACAAACTATATTCTGAACAACATATGTCTTAACTGTGGGAGACATCAGCATGGGAAAACTAGTACTGATTATATTGAAAAGCAGTTCCTAAATATTTCTGTTCCTGAAATGAGACATTTTCTGCAATCAAAGTTGATAAATGAAATGCACTTTATAATGATATTGAACTGTGTTAGATGTTAACCTAAATTTAAACATTCCACACTTGAAGCTTTGCCCAAATCCATTCACAAAGAGTTTACAAATCTTTGCTTTCTCCCCTTTATAGTATACACAGTAATGAGTCTCCATTCACAAAATACATACCCAAATTTGTTATTAACCGAGATGTAAATATTTGTTAATATTCAAAAGATTGAAACCCAAATGTGATTATGGTGATGACATAAACTAGATTTAATATATCGCTTGACTTGGCTGACATGTTTACAAATAAGCGGCGTTTTGTGTATTACCGTCTACCCATGACAGGCCAAAAGGATGTTATGATAGCATCTTAATTTTTTAAAGAAAGATTGAAAACACTGACTGCGACCCAAGTATTGTGAGTGTAAAAAGCTTCAACATATTTAACTAAAATTTAAAAACTTATTTTCAGTTAAAAAAAAAAGATTTGAAAAAAAAAATCTCTTCTTGATTTTGTGATACTTTTGAATCCAAACGTGTGTTAATAAATTACAAAATGCAACTCACAGAAAATGTCTTTCTGTAAAAAGTAAGCTAACGATGCTTTATACATCTTCAGTCTAGGAGCCAGACTTTCAAAGTGTGGTCTGCTTTATGACAAGCTAACACTTATATCTATCCTCTATCTGATTTTAAAGATGTTGAACTTTATACTGAAAATGCAGCTTTATAGAAATTCATAATGACTTATCAAAGATTGAAAACACAATTTGTTTTGACTTTTTTTTTAAACATACCGTTATTGTTTAAAAAAAAATGAAAATTGACATATTAAGCTGACATAATTATCAAGAATGTATGAAGGAATTTTAACAGGTTCCAGCAGTTTTTGGCCACTGTTTGGCAAACGTAATTCACAAATGGTAATGTATGTCAACCAAGGCTAAGTCTATGTAACGTATACCATATCACTCCTTTATATAAGGATGATGGTATAGAAATACAACCTGTTATAGAAAAAAAATTAAGGAGGGTGAATTGTATGAATATAAGGGTAATTATTTATCAGTGCCATATTTTTTTCTCTAGGTCGAGTGATTGTGCTCTAGCAAAAATCACTTGTTATTTCTGAGTCACACCTGTTCTACGTTGAGGTTCAGAAACAGGACTAAAGTGTTCAAAATTGATTAAATTTTTGCTTTCGTAGATTGTTGACACATAAAAAGACCCGATTTCACAAAATGACATTGTAATATATAATGCATTTGTTGATAACTAGCAATTCCGTTGTTGTACATATTGGAGGTACATAAAGCTAGTGTACATATCAGTTTCAATACCTTAGATCAACACATTCAAATTTTTATAATCTGACATCCTTGTCCAGGATTTGCAATTTCTGTGGCTTTTGTATTATTTTCTGTGATTAATTAATTCATACCCCATATGCCAAATATAAATGACATGACATATCCTGTTCATACCCAATAGAATAATAAGTCGGATCTTCCCAGCACGGGTATATAGGTTTGGTCAGAACGTGACAATTGAAAAAGAGTCTTACTGAACCACCGTTTTAATTTTGGAGTAGTTGGGTGTGTTTGTTTGTTAAATATTACTGCGACTGAAGTGAAACCTGTTTTGGAAAGTGAGACTGTATAATGTAGGATATACAAGGAAGCAAGTGCCATGCCATTCACAACCTAGGTGTACAGGTGAAGCACAGGTGTTCTGTATACTAAACTCTGTTATACCTGAGTAGAACTCCCACAACACCATGTGAAGTCCTGAATATTACTACCAGTAAGCACAATATTTCTGCAGACATATTATGGAAAATTGATTTTTCCATGCGAGATAGAATATTGGTACCTGGATCTTGTAAGCTATGCGTGCATGGCTGCACTATAGTGTACACTTGGACAAGGAGTGAAGAGTTTGACGTCTGCTCACTGCTCGGGCGAGACAAATCTTCAGGTGCATCCCTATCTATCAGTTCACCTCACCTGTCCACACCTGGTTTTGCCTCAGTGGGTTTGTGTGTATATCAATTAGCCATAGGTGAGCGGCTGATTGGAGCTTGGCCATCTCTAGACCTATATATACCGTACTCTATAGGGAGCCAGGGATGTTAGATTGATGAGGCTGTACCAAGAAATCGGGACTACACCTTTTACATCGCATGATCATGAAAAGGTCTGATTGGCCACGACAAAGACCCTGTCATTCGGTGCACTGAGGAGTAGATAGTAACATAAATAAACCGCTCATTAAGTTTCTATGATTACCACTTCATGTTCCCGAACCTCGACGTCTCTAAACAGAGTTGAATGCACTCGACATCTGAAGCCTGACAGGGCTGTGAAAACAGACTAGCTATTATTATAAATATCCTATATTGCAAACGCAGGGCATGTTTAGAGTTTGAGAGTAAGGACGTGAGAAACTCTTAAAGTATTGTTAGGATTTGATGATATTTTAATTATATTGTGTGACTTTTCTCGCTAACGATGACCCGACATCCAAGATTATACTGGACACTTCACGACGGGACACACAGGACCAATAAGGTAAACATCTGCTGCCTTTTCATGATTGTTAGTGAGTCTGTATGAATGTTTCATTGTACTGACTATTTTGTTGTTTTCTATTTTAGAAATCAAATTTTTGGGAATAGTGAGATTTGCAGAGATGAAATGTCATAAGGTATTAAATTTCATACGGAAACTAAATTTCTGAGTCTCTGCTCTTAGAACATGTAATGTAATCATCTGTAATCTTTGCAGTTTGGTTAATAGTGGGTGGGTTGTTCCAATGTTGTAATATATTTTTACTGAACTGTCACAGTTGAAATGTATATTGATGATTCTTACTTGATTTCTTTTGAGAAAATACTAATCTAAACCACAAATTGATGTGTCTAGATCTAAATACATGCTTCTGTCCCTTCATCGTAAAAGTGCATCACTTTCGTAATATTGTTGACTTCTCAGTTCCAAGACACACAAAAATCAAGATGTTTAGCAAGACGGGGTAAATATCTGTGACTGAATTCTAGATTTGGGATGATTTCTCTGTGTTTGTTTGTGGCGTATATGCCAAGCTCATGTTCATGGAGAGTGGACCCTCCTCAACTCATTCACCCCTGATATTCCATAATGAACTATTCCAACCTTTGAATTGGAAGAGTTCAAATGTGTCTTCAGGGGTGAATGAGTTAACTTTGGATATAACCGAGATGGGACAGAGCCAGGAAACCACCCCAGATATTTCATAATGAACTATTCCAACCTTTGAATTGGAAGAGTTCAAATGTGTCTTCAAGGGTGAATGAGTTAAATTTGGATATAACCGAGATGGGACAGAGCCAGGAAACCACCCCTGATCAGGAAGCTTGGCTGATGAGAGCGACAGAATTGTGGTCAGAACTTGTGGGTTCGAATCCCAATCTGGCCCTATTTCAGTTTTAGTCTCGAAACACTATCATTGATTTCCTTTTTTGTCTTTTTCGATTTCATTCTCTATTATTTTTGCATATTCGAGTTCTGCAAGGAGCAAGTTTCTTTTCAGAAATGATTAAGTAAAGCTGTTGTTATTGCCGTTGTAATTTTCAAATTTGTAGTTACAGTTTGTGATATGGGAAACCTTAAGATCAAAGAATAAAAATGGTTGAAAAGAAAGTAAATCAGCGACGGAAACATGAAAGGTCTGGGTTATAATCGGAGAGAAATATGCATTCTTAAACCCGAAATGTTTTATTGTGGTTAATTTCCGTATTTGTAGCTCCAGTAAGACTGGGCTTTTACTTTGCGGTGAGTGTCTATTTCTACTATTTGTACGTAACATCCCAACATGCATGCTGATGAGGGCGTTAAGTGTGAGGCATGGAAGTGAGTCAGAAATTAAAACCATACTCTTACCTGAACTCTCGGCGAGCACTTGATGTGGAAATAATCTCTTAATATTAAATAACTACACTAAAGAATAAATGTTCTATTGTCAAACTAAAGGATTAACTCCCTGTACGGAAATATATGTAAATCGCTAATGTTAATCAGTGAAAATTAATAATATGGCACACTTTTAACTAGGTGCAAGTTTTATTACTTCATGGCTGTCTGCTAAATCAAACTAACCTGCTAGATGAGGAATGTGTTTTATTTGTGTGCAAGTTAAATGAAGAACAGCATTATTAGGTTTGACAGTTTAATCATCCATATACTGTAGCCAATTAATATTTATATATTTATTAGGAAAGAATATACTGGGAAATATGTAAATATTGCTGGTGACCTTCATTTTGTATACATTACGTTTCTGTCCTTTTGAATGTACATTTCACTCAACATGTAGGAATAACGTTACAAAGAAAGAAAGAAAATTAATCGTATGAACCTGGAACTTGCAGTCAGTCAAAATCTGATGTAATCATTTTAAAAAACTATATCAGGGCTTCATAGAACAATTAACCCTGGCATCCCTCCCAAAGATGCTGGGGGATTAAAACAAATTGAATTTAAAAAAAAAAAAAAAAGAAGAAGAACAATTAAGGATTTATAAAAAAAAAAATGTAAATTAACAAGGAAGCGTTTTTATTTCAGTCAATTTTGTTTTGGATCGAAAGAATTGATTTTTGTCAAAATAAATTAGAATTTCAGAACAGTTTTGAAATCTGGAACCATTTATTTTTGATTGAAGCATATATACATAACACATTCTTATCTATACAGTAGACATGTTTGAATCTCCAAATTGACATGATTGATTTAAGTACAGTACTAAGTATCTATTTTGAACTTGTTAAAGAGTATATATATACAGTGAAACTTGTCTAAACCGAATGTCACAGGATCAATTGTTTGGTTCAGAATAAACAGGTTTTTAATGAATTTTAATGGAGCATCAATATATTTCACACAAAAAATGTATACAGTGGGACTGAGGATGAGTTGAAGATACTGTTTATACAAAGGTGTGTCGCCCTTAAAAAAGATAAGCTGCTGCCTACTGACTCTGCTGGGGAGACTTCCTCTTAAGGTCATTTGGTAGAGTGCAAGGCTAGTAAACCGGAGGTCCCGGGTTGGACTCCTATAGCAGAGGCATTGAAAAAATTATTACCAGTCCTGGGAAATATTGACAAATGTACTCGGCGATACTTTCACAAGAATCCCCCTGAAAAATTATACTTCTTTCCTGAAGGGCGGTCGGGAGTTTGTCACCCTGGTAAAATACTAGCCACTACTTACTGACTCGGCTAGGGAGAATTTCTCTTTAGCTCATTTGGTAGAGCGCAAGACTAGTGAACCAGAAGTCCCGGGTTCAACTCCGAGCGGAGGCGTTGACAAAATAATGACCCTGTAACAGGTGCACGTGTCAATATTTACTGTTGCATGATTTAAACAGGTTTTGGTTTATATATATAGGTATATCGGACAAGCCCCAAATCGAAACTGGTAATTTTACTTAATATATTTAAATAGACATATTCATTACCTAATTTAATCATAAATAAGTTCATGGTGTGAAAACCAACGTGCAGGATGCAGACCTGTAGACATGAACATCTTAAAGACACACCCTGTCTCGAAGATGAGGATTACGATTCTAGCATAAAAATGTCATTTTTCTTTACATTTGCTTCAAATTTAGAATATTAATGAATATCATGGGAGGTTTTACCTAAGTTACATGATCCATAACAAAAGTGGTGGGTGATGTGTCGCTTGGCTTTCAATCTCATCAGGCGTGGTAACGATTAAATCTATTAATATATTTATTTTCTATTTTGTAATACCCTGTTCCAATTTGGATCTTCCATGAATTTATAGCCACCCACTCTCCCGAGTAATGGGCGTCATAGATTTACGATCATGGATAATCAGCGCTGACTCGGTAATAATTATTGATTATGATTCATCCATCTTTTGATATTTACTTAAAATAAACAGCTTGTCATTCAATTATATCTCAACAGGATTTACTGTTTCTGCTTTACTTGTGAAGATGAGGATAAAAACAAATATATTTACTGTTTTTTTGTTGGGCATCATTTATATATCACAAGTGGGGCAGATTAATTGAATAATTTCCCTGGTAAAAATGTAATTAATATTTTGTTGCAGATTTTACTCTCTAAAAAAGTCTAGGGTAGGGTCTGTAAATCTACATCTACATACATTATCAATATAAAACCAGAATCTGAGTGTAGTTGCTGCTTTGTAAGGCCCAGGGTCAGTAGAGATACCTAATTATAAGATACACAAATTATTGTACCCTCTGCATTTAATTTTAACTCATCCACCCCTGAAATTTCATGATGAACTATTCCAACCTTTGAATTGGAAGAGTTCAAATGTGTCTTCAGGGGTGAATGAGTTAAAAGATGGATGGGTATACTGGAATCAGGGTGACTGTCTGTCCAGGATATTTACTGTAATCCATGTGATACACTGCTGCTAACATTTTTTCTCACGCATTTAAAAAAATAATTGACATGCATGACCATTACTAAGTATAATATTTGGTTTATGTAACACGATGGACCTAATCATACTGTTTTCTAACTTTTACATGATGTTTAGACGGGTAGAGTTGGATGGGTGGGGGTAGAGGTCTCAGTTTAGGTGGGTAGAGTGGGGTGGGCAATGGTTTAGCTATAAAGCTATGACGATATAATTTCATGAAGGAGTCCATTCACAAGATTAATTCAGACATCTTAAAATCTGGAAACTTGTTTGAAGTTTTGGAGATGGGGGTAACTGACTCTTTGTGTAAATAAATAAAATAAATATACAATATTTGATATAGCGCCCTATATAGCTAACATAAGCCACTCTAAAGAGCTTTACAGTACATAGATATACAATTGTATACATGCAGTCAATACGATTAGCACATATATTAATCAATACAATATTGAGGAATTCACAGGAGCTGCCCTATCAGGCGCTAACTACTAGTCCTATGCCACCTGGCTAATATCTCCCTATGTGTTGTGTGTATGCCTCTGTGTGTGTGTGTGTGTGCTGGAGATGAATTGTGTAGTGGGGGGTTGGCAGGGGGTAACTGTCTCGGTGCTCTTCAGGTAGAGTGTCGGG